AAACTAGTCAGTTGTCCTTATTCCAAGACAGACTTCTCTGTTCCACAGGCAAAGAACTTCATGATTCAAGAGTCAGCATTAGACCAGATGAATGCCCAATCCCAAATACATATGCACTGACCACAGGTCAATAGGAACAGATGTATCATGAAAAACTAAAATGCAAATGATGTACAAAATGGATTTTGAATGACATAAAGCATGAGGATCTCAGAGTCCTGAAGGGGTTGGCACATGTGGGGTAGCACGTGCTCACACAGTTTTGATGGAGGGGGACTTTGTCACAGAGTAGTGGCTGAGTTGGGTAAATAAACTGGAAGTCTATATGCTTTTTTTTTTTTTTAATTTAAAAAAGATCTGTGTGGGCCCTCCCTGGTGGCGCAGTGGGTTAAAGCACAGCACTAAGCGGCTAAAGCCACTGCAGCATGAGTTTGATCCCCGCCTGCCCCGGAGGTGACCACATGGCGCAGCAGACCTCTCCTGACCCGCCCGCTGCTCCCCTCAGCAGTGTACTTCGTAGATCTGCCTTTTCTGCTCCCCACTCTGTCTCTGGTGAAGCCTCTCACTGCCCTGCACCTTTGGCCTGTACCCCAGTTCTGTATGTGAAAATAAATCTTTAAAAAAAAAAAAGATCTGTGATAAAGCTGGAATTTAGCTTTACCTTGTATATATGTTGCCATTCATTGGATATGCCTGGATAAACCCCTCACACATCTCACACATCAGGCACTGTTCCCAGAGTATTCAGCAGTCTACATGGGATTCAAAGCTCTCAACACATGAAATTTGCATGCTCATGGAGAGGTTCCACCCACCAAGTCAGTATTTGTATATAATTTATGCAGGCACTATGTCTCCTATACAGATACATGACACAAGCTATGCAACCTCTGTCGTCAGACACGGTCCGGATGGAGGGGAATTGCTCTGAAAAATCAGACTTTCCACGCTAACATGTGTTATGACCTCCCTTTTTTGTATAATCGTAATATCAAAATATTCTGAGCAATTTTCAGCTTACAGTTGAGTTGCCTCAGCTGCATAAGGCCTCCCTGCTTTGACAAGCAAGCACTGCACCAGGGTGAAAAAATTCCTCTGAAGTCAAAAGTAACTTGACAACTGGCTGATAAATAAAAGCAAAGGAGCTGTTTCTGTGAAGTCTCTCTCACTGCCAATGGAGGAAACCCAAATCTTATCATTCTACTATCTCACCTAGCCTTCTATTCAACTTCTGAAGAATTACTCAAACTTCCTACAAACTGCCTTTAGATGTGGAAATTCATCCAGGTTGCCTGTATTAAAACTAGCCAGGTTTTTTACCTGCTACATTTCAAAGCAATCCACAAAAGTCTTCTGGCTAGTCTTTCAGGATTCTACTATCTAGTCTTTAGATAAGGAAATTCACCTATGTCTCCTATTCAGAGCGAATATGTCTAGACCTCAAGGAAACTCACTTAAAACCTCTTAGCAAGTTTCTTCAAAGAACTTTTTGGAAACTTGATTTGCAAGAAATTTCCTCTTCCTGCCTCCCAGGATGTCTCAGGGAGAAAAAAACATTAGGTAATAGATAAGATTTAAGGGACTTTATTTTTTATCAATCTCCACTATAGTAATATTAGTCATAAACTTTGTGCACCTATATACCTGTTTTTTAACCTTGATTGATTTTAGAATGTTATAATCTCAAGTAAAGGTCAAAATAACCCCATACTATTCTTAGAAAAATGATGATTGTGATCTCAACCTCTTTCATATGCTAATGCCACCCCCCTGCCTGCTTGAAATGTATAAAATAAACCTCTGCTGAAGGCAGAGCAGGAAGATTTGCACCCAACTCCGACTCCCGTGTCTTCCTCACTCCCACTCCCCTTTACTCCCCAATTTTTAGAATATTGCCTCGCCGACGTCTTTCCCACCTTGAGACCCTGCCTGTGTCAGCTGCTCGACAGCCTGAAATCGGGGTTGGTCCCCCACAGATACACATCTACAGTAGGTTATCCAGGAAGGGATTTGTTTTTCCCAGTTAGCAGGTAGGTTGGGCTGGTTTTGCAAGGTCTGTGAGGGGGTCACACCCAAGCTGCTCAAGCATGCAGATTCCAGGCAACATTTAGCGTTCCACTTTGTGGTCCCCTGCAGCACCTCTGGGATGGGATGTACATTTTCTCCAAGGTAGAAGGGGGCTGGGGCAAGGTTACATAGGCATGGGAGCTTCTTATCAGTAAGAAAAAAGTTTTTGCTTTTTCTGACAAGTATGTATTATGAATTAAAATGCAACAGAAATTTTCCCCAAAGTTCTAATGACATGTCTCCCTTTTTTCAAAGATTGGCTCCTTAAGCATCCATGTAGCTTGGAAAAATATTTTCAGCTATCCTGGCAGTGAACTGTTCATAAAACTTGTCAGCATTAGGCATGCTAATCACAAATTTAGAAACAGCATAATATGGGTATGGTTTTACTTGCATATCAATAGGTAATAAGAGGTAGAATGTCAGGGAAGACAGAAATAAGATCACCTGAACAACTCCTCCAGAGGTTTTCCAACTACGGAAATAGCTTTTCTTCCAGGTCAGAAACTTCTAGTACACTCTAAGTAAGTCTTGGCCCAGAATTTAGTGCCTCTCTCCTCTGACAAGTTTTCCAAACCTCCTTGAAGATGCACAGCTGACAATGAAGCAGATGAAACGGAATGAACAGGCCATACAGGTCCCTCTGACTCAACAGAGAAGACACCTCCCCTACTAGAATTTTATGACTTCCTCATAAAATTCTGGGCGTATTATTGTTTTGAATAATGATTTAATGACCTAATAATTGTTACTGCATATGCTCAGCTCTTACCTTCCATAATAGGAAAATGGTAATTGCTTTCATTTAGAGACCAAGTAATACTTGTTTATAATTAAAAAGATGGGTTTTGTACATGCCTCAGTGCCAAAGCAGTATCATACCTGCATATAAATTCTTAAAGACTTTTAGAGACAATTTTTACAAACATGAAATTATTTACATGCCCTTCTATAAAACAAACAAAACAATTATGCAATAGTTGAACAAGCAGTCAATCAAAAATGATTTCTTCAAAAGTGAAGAAAAAAGTCGAAAAAAAGAACCAAGGTTAATTGTGAAATAGCATCTGTAAAATGGTTGAAAATCAAATATAAAGTTCAAAAATAGTTATTTAAAAAGAATAGTTATTAAAAAGGGATAACTCTATCCAAAGGCAGGTCTAAGTCTTAGATCAGGAAATTCCCAAAAATGTGTAGATTAGGAGTGCTGGCAAGTGAAAAGAAATCAAATTATAGGGACTTTGATAAAATGCATCTGTGATCTAAGGAGAAACTTTTGGAAACTGAGGTCTTTCTTTAGAAGAACCTACACTAATACACTAGTAGTGTATTAGTGAATGTAGACTCAGTCTTATGATTTGCAGCCAGCATTAAAAAAGAAAAAAACTGAAATAGAATGCATCAGAATTCAGGTATTTAACATAGCATTATTTTCTGAACTTCTGTTCTAGCTGTATGTATATATGTGAGTTGTCTGCATGAAATAGAGATTTTTTTTAAACCTCACTTCACAATCAAGTTTAAATCTCATTATTTAACTTCTGCTTCAGAAATATTTCAAGTTTACTCTTTCCCCATACTTCCCAACTCCCTTCCCACACAGACACAAAGACACACTCCCTTTTCTTCTGAAAACTATTGCAACGGATTACCAATCACTCACATTAGGTCCTTCTCTAGAACAAACATGGAGTCCAGAGCCAAGACAGAAGCAGCAATACAACAAATCAACAATAATGCATAAATTCTCTCCTGAAAAGCCTCAAGTGGCTTCCCAACCTGCAAAATAGATACCAAATACCATATACAGGAATTTGGAGGTCACCACAAGATGATTTTTGTGATGAAATCTTGGGCACTGTCCACACTACATGCTTCCCTGAGCAACTACGTACTGATGAACAAACTTGGATCCAGATCTCTCACCAATGGTGAGCCCTGAGACAAACGCACAGAGGCATTGTAGGCAATGTCCCAACAACCCTTTTCCCACAATTACTGAAGGCACACCCGCCAATTTTGAGTCTGTGGCTCCCACTTCAGGTAAGTGTTCCTGCCTTAGATAATTGAAAGCAGGGGACTTACTTGTTTCTTTGAGCATTTGGGGTAGGGCTCTGAAAATGAGTGTGGTGGTTGGGAGTTGAATAGCCGAGTCCTTAGCAAAACTCAGGGTCACCGAGTGACCTCGTAGCATGGAACCAGCCACAAGAGTGATTTTAGCCAAGTAGTTATCATAAATTAGGTCCATGCTACTCCATTCTCCATGGTCTTCTATCTAAGTGCAGAGACCAATGAGTGGCTTTAGTCAAACGCAGCCCACATGCATTGTAGATTATGATTTACTAGATTGTGTTTGCGCAAGCATGATTAGGTAGTCCCCTGAAGTTTTCACACCACGTCATAAGCATTACCTATGTCCATGCTGAGACTTCTGAGCTCTGTGTTACTTTCCTCACATACACAAACCATTTTCTATCAAATTCTGGGCGTGAATAACTTATTTTCTCCACAGATTGAAAGCCAAACATTTGCAAAGTCATTCAGAAGAGATGAGATAATTCTCCTACTCGAAACTACTTTTAAATTTATAAGGAAAAGAGAAAGTTTCACTCCTTTCCCTGAATTTTGCTGAAAACCAAGGACTTTATCGAATAGTTTTGCCAGGAAGAAACATTTTTCGTTAAAAAGTGAAAACACGATTGAAGTCTGAGTCTCCAAGGATCGTTCGGCATGGAACCTGGGCTATTTTGTGCAGAGGATTTTTACAGGATTCAATTTTTTGGTGTAAAACAAACACAAATGCTCCTCCCCAAGGGGCGGGGCGGTGCCTGAGCAGCGCACCAATCACAGCGCGCCCGGCTCTATATAAGGCCTGAGGCGTCGCGACTTTTCGCGCCTCTGCCAGGCTCTTCCTACTTTTCTTCTTCCCTGGTATGTCTGAGACTGCTCCCGCAGCTCCGGCAGATCCTGGTGTAGCTTCTATGGAGAAACCTCCAGCAAAGAAGCGAGGGAAGAAGCCGAGTGGCCTGGCCAGTGCAAGTCACAAGACCCCGAGTCCTTCGTTGTCCAAGTTGATTACTGAGGCGCTCTCGGCGTCTCAGGAGCGAGGGGGCATGTCCTTGGCAGCGCTCAAGAAGTCCTTGGCGGCGGCTGGCTACAATGTGGAGAAGAACAACAGCCGCATCAAGATTGGCCTCAAGGGCCTGGTGAGCAAGGGCACTCTGGTGCAGACCAGGGGAACCGGTGCTTCCGGGTCCTTCAAGCTGAGCAAGAAGGTTACTCCAGAGCCCCCCAAGGGCAAGGTCAAGAAGCCCGCTTCTGCCAAAGCTAAGAAGGTGGTCTTGGACTCCAAGTCTCCAAAAGGTACCAAGACCAGCAAGAAGGCCAAGAAGCCCAATGCAACAGCAGTCAAGAAACCTGGCAGAAAAGCCAAGGCGGCCAAGGTTAAGTCGCAGCAGAAGAGCCCTGGGAAGGCAAGGGCTGGCAAGCCAAAACCGGGGAAAGCCAAGATGGCCCAGCAGAAGACTAATCCCCGGAGAGCAGCCTCGAAGAAATGAGCTTTTTGAAGGCAACTTTACTACAGAACCCAAAGGCTCTTTTCAGAGCCACCTAAATAATCATAAAAGGGCGTAACTCTAGTTACTTCCTCGTAACTCTTACTGGTGTTTTGTTTCCCTAAGATTTATTTGTGCGTACAGAAATGAGGTACAGGCCAGAGGTGGCAGGGGTGGGGTGGGATGGGTGGGGGGGGGGGTTTGTCAGGCGATTCAGTAGAGACAGTGGGGAGAGCGGGTGGACTGAAATAAACACTGCTGAGGGGAGCAGTCTGCGCTACGTGGGCCATCTCACACCCACAACCCCGCCGGGGATCGACCTCATGTTGCAGTGGCTGCGTAGCCTCATACTGCTTTGCTTCCCCGTTGTGCTGCCAAGGAGGGTCCAAGAAGATCATTTATGATGGGGTAATAACAGGTTTCTTTAGCCACTCGGTGAACATCTGCAGAGGTTAAAGTGGTAGGCCCTTTAGGTATCCATTCCAAGACAGGCTTATGCAGTGTAACAGGCTGGCATGGGGCGCAAGACTTGGAGGTCTAGTGCTTTGCGTGGGCCATATCAGGGTTTTGCTCAAATACGTCTTCACTGTCAGGTAAGTTTGCTGTATTTGTTGGTGCCATCCATCTAGAGAATCTTAAATTCTCTCCATGTCCATGGACTTATAGGGACCAATGAATAGAATGCAGGTAACCAAAAATTTGAGTCTGGGTGAAAGTTTACCTCTTACTAGTTCACTAGTGATAGAAATAAAAACCAAGGTTTTTCACAACTGCAAGAACTTTGAAATATTTACGCTCATCTCTGAGGTACCCTAGTTTAGATGCTACTTGGTAAAGTAAGGAACGACATCGTTAAAAAACATTTACAATTGGGCCCTCCCTGGTGGCGCAGCCGGTTAAAGCACTGCACTAAGAAGCTTAAGCCACTTCCGCATGAGTTCGATCCCGCCTGCCCCCGAGGTGACCACATGACCACATGACGTGGCAGACCTCTCCTGACCCGCCCGCTGCTCCCCTCAGCAGTGGACTTCGTGGATCTGCCTGTTCTGCTCCCCGCTCTGTCTCTGGTGAATCCTCTCACCCTCCGCATCTCTGACCTGTACCCCAGTTCTCTATGAATAAATCAATAAATCTTTAAAAAAAAAAAAACATTTACGATTGGTTGATTGCAATCATGTCTATTTTATTTGTGAAATGACTATAAACGTCTCCAAATCTTAACTTCCCAGCCTCAGTATTAATCCTAAAAGCAACCGAAATCTTGGAGGCTGAGGTGATGGCACAAAAAAAATTGCTTCCATTAAGAGGCACTCAGGGTGAGTTAAAGCATTTTTTTTAAAACTGGCTTTCACTTTATTTGTGATCTACCATTCTTGAAGCTCACCGGGTAATTTAATATTGTTAGTCATCTGGGTCTGTTTTTTGAACAAAGCCCAGTGCAAAACTAGTGCTTTCAGACAAGTGCATGTTCTAGGGCGAGATTCAAGATTTAGCTTTACCAAACGAATTTACATAATGGGGCCTCTGGGGGGAAGAACTAAAGATAATGGTTCAATCTGTGTAGTCACAATCACTGCTTTGCTTGTGCAAGGTAGTGCTCATTTCCCTTCTAAATTGTAGTAGCCACAGGGCAGGAATATGTCACTTTCTCTGCAAGGCAGTGAGCTGCTCAGTGGACTGATTTGACTGTCAATGGGCCTTATTTCAATAGCAGAAGACTGGTTTACACTTGAGGTTAAAAAAATTAACCATTTTCCCAAATTCTAAGTGTAGCAAAGAAGCCCTTTATTGTTTCTGCCCACAAAAAAAACGTGAATTTTGGCCGCTGCAATCGAAAACTGCAGCACCCCACTACTTTGTCCCCGAAATGCCTTCATTTATATGGTTGTGCGCGATGAATTCATGGGTATAAACAAGTCCTCTGGCCAACCAGTGACCATCAAGTTAACTATGATGCGGATACTTCCTCGTTTACCAGTGGCTTTTTGGCATGCTGTCATGTTATCTATTTCCCATTTGCCAGACTAGTGTCTTGCTACCTAGAAACCGCCTAATAACCTCAAACCCAATGTTCCCGCACCGTGTTAACAGCCCTTTAAGAGACTATGTGGGCGGCCCTGAAAAGGGCCTTTTGTTTCTTTCCACGAATGTATGGCGGTGCCTTTACTTCAGCCGCCGAAGCCGTAGAGCGTGCGGCCCTGGCGCTTGAGCGCGTAGACCACGTCCATGGCCGTGACCGTCTTGCGCTTGGCGTGCTCGGTGTAGGTGACGGCGTCGCGGATCACGTTCTCCAGGAAGACCTTGAGCACCCCGCGCGTCTCCTCGTAGATGAGCCCTGAGATGCGCTTGACGCCGCCGCGCCGGGCCAGGCGGCGGATGGCGGGCTTGGTGATGCCCTGGATGTTGTCGCGCAGCACCTTGCGGTGGCGCTTGGCGCCTCCCTTGCCGAGACCCTTTCCGCCTTTACCGCGACCAGACATGACTGTCTTTTCCGTGACTCGCAAAACGCGACGCAGCCATTTAAATAGCACTACTGCGGACCTGATTGAGAACCAAAGGAGCAGGCGGGGCTCTTCCAAATTGTCGTCATGGGGGTGGTGCCAGGTAAGTGACTAGGAAAGCTTCAGTGTTTTGATTGGCCAATGAACCGCCCACTTCACTGGCGGCTCAGGAGTGGTTCGTACAGATTTCATTGCGCTGAAAAGATTATTTCTCCTTTTATTTCCCCCCTCCCCCCCATGCAATCACGGTTCCTTTTCATCTCTCCCCCCACCCCAATCCAATCGCGAATCGAATGTACTGATAATCAGCTCAGAGGAGCTGAGGTAAGAGGTCAGCTTCCTGTTGGTTTTGTTCCCACCTGGTAGCTAGCTAGTAAGGTAGGTAATGGCTCCTAGGTCAGTAGCGAAACATTGTGTTAGGGTGGGTTTAGAGGTCAAAAAGGTACCTTCCCAGTCCTTTTATTCTTACTTAAACAAAGCATACTGAAAATTAAGGGGTTTAGAATAGGCCTCTCTAGCATGTCACTTGATGTGTGTGTTATTTACAGCTGAAATCAGTGGAGGTCCTCTAGTTCATGACAAACTTATCACTCCTTTACTGAGAAGAAAGAACTAGGAGTCTTACTCAAAATTAGAGTTATTATCAGAAATCATCATCCATACGAAAAATCATCAAAATTAGAGTTATTATCAGAAATCATCATCCATACGAAAAATCTCTCACTATGACAGGGCAACTGTCGGATTACCTAACATCTACCTGTTCATCTCTCGGTCCTGTGAATGTACCTTCTCACCCCTGTGAAGCCCCATTTCTCTATCCCATTCCTAAGCTATATGCCCTACCTCATTTCTGTACTGGACTCTCTCATATCCTGGTACGCAGGAAACTTAATATGTTTTCCTCATTAATCTAATGTTGATTTGAATTTTTAACCAGCCAGAGCAAAACAAAAGATGGGGGGTGGCCGATGGGGGGTTGAGAAAGAGGGGACGGAAACAAAAAGAAGAATTTCAGATTAAAGTCTTACTTCTCTCCATCATTCAATTATTTACGCGGTGACTACGTTCTCTGCAAAAGTCTGAAAGGGAGCATAATCTCTTGACTGTCTTTCAGGGTCTGCAATTATGAACAACTCCTGTCCTCCTGTATTAATCCCCTTTCAACCTTCTGCAGTTTTTAGAGACAAGGCCTTTTTTTGTTGACTTGGGGAATAATCTTAGTGTGGGGCTAATACTTGATTAAGGTCATTACAAAGCCTTCCTGACAGGATTCTGATAAGATTATTAGTGTTTTAAACAAGATTAATTCCCTACACACACACACACACACACACCCACCCTTTTTTTTAAGTAAAACTAGAATAAAATGAATTTGAATCTTGTTTGAAAAGAGGAACTTATTAAATCAAAATTTTCTTCCGTAAGCTTTTGAAAATGTACTTGGTAACAGTCACGCTGCTTAAAAAAGAAAAAAAATGCATTTCCCTCTTTCTGGTTCAAAAATAAATGTCTATTTGTGTACTTAGAATTTGAGTATGGCCTGAGAGACGTTGTAATTTCATATTGCTGTACTTTTAGCCATCAAAACCAGGGTGGGCTCGTTACTCAGATAAAAAGTGGAAAGGACCAGGAAGGAAAAGGCCCAAGAAAGAACTGTGAGTCTCTGAATGGCATAGGGTTTGTGACACTTATGAAATAATTAAATTGTTACCTTCTTGTTCTCCAAATTGAGAGTTTTGGGCTTCTGACTCATTACCACCTTCCCACCACAGACACATGCCCTCGAAGACTTAGCAAGGAAGAAATGTCAAACACTACAGAGAACAGAGAGTTTTGTGTTGGGAGCACGAAGTCAGCCTTAGTTTGGCTTCGTCTTCAAAGAGATTTATTATGCTAGTTCATACACATTCTAGATTCAAACATCAGATTTTAAAGAGCAAACATTAAAGAACTCGACCAAGGTGCTGCAATAGCACATCTCTTAGCACTCACAGTCCCATCCAAAGCATCACCCATGAAGCCATGGAAGTTTGCAGCCAAGGATGGTCACGAGGTAAAGTCAGCATTGAATGATTCATCAGTGCTTTAAGGTTTTCCATCCCACAACTTCTCCCTGAATGATAAAGATAAAATAAACGAAATTATGAATTCAATCCTTTAGAAATTTGTATATAAACAGAAATATTTTAATTTGAGAAATACATCCAAAGAACATGTTTTCAAATATTTATGAAAAATGACAGGGCTATGGCAAATTCGAAAATATTAAAACAGTTTCTTTATTGTGAGCAATATCAGAGAGGCAGCAGAAAGGAGTATCTAAAGGAGATGGTAACATGCCACACTCCATATTTTGTGACTAAATAAGAGATATTGTGGAGTCTGACAAGCTGGAATAAAAATCTAACACAATCATTTTCCTAGCTGTAAAACCTCCGCAAGTTAACTAGCCTCTCTGTGCTTTGGTTTTCATATAGCAAAATAAAATAAGAGTGACAGAATAACAATAGCCCCTAGCTCAAAGGATTACATAAAGAAATTAAATTAATATTCAGATCAGAGCCTGGCATCCAGTGAGAAAATTTTAATTAAAAAAATTCATTTAATGGAATACTTGACTGAGAATGCAAATTCATCTAATCAAGTGATAAAGGAGTAAATTCCATAAACAATTACTCAGAAACAGAGTATGAAATAGCAGCATGAATGTTGAGCCAAGTAATAAATGCACAGGCAATAAAGACAATACAGGCTTTCTATAAAATTGCCAAAAAATAATTTAATATTGTAGTAATAGTTTACATGTTAATCACTGATTCAAAGTGGCAGAAGAGAAAATGGCCTAAAGTCTACAAGAACAAAATAAAAATTACAAGCAGCCATCTATGTAGGTGAAAAGCTTACTATTTAAAGTCATGCATTTTTGAGTCTTAGTCATTAAAGAATGGCTATGGAAAGAAATGTCATTTACAAATGGTAAGATGTAAAAGTCTTTTAGCATTTTTATATGTATTATGTTAATGGGGGTGTGTGTGTGCATAAAGAATTTTTTTTAATGAGCAAGAATACACAGTACTCTAAGACCAAATTATTATAACAAGAATTTATCTCTGTACCTCCCAGGAGGCTTTGATCGGCAGCTTCATGTAGCCTCACAGATTAGCTGGTCAATTGTTTTCCTTCCATCTGATCCCTGTTCGGGCAATTCAACAGTGCCCTGTGCTTCCAGAGATTCAAATAACTGATGAATTTCTTGGTTTTCTCAAAAATTCAACAGCATGTCTCCACTAGTGATCACCAAGACCCCACCCTTTCAATGACTTTCAGCTCAGAAAAGCCTCCTGTCCAGGCGCTCTGATCACATGACCCCATCACATATTTGTGTGTTTGAGTCACTTACTTGACTATGGCCACAAGATGTCACCACTCCCTATGCTACCTTGCTTTGTTGTAGGATGTCTTGCCAGGCACGAAAGATACAAATTTTAAAATGTAGTCTTCAATTTTGCAAATATAGTTGACTGTAGAATTTGTGAAAGCTAGAAAAATTAAGAAATACATTTTAAAAATGGAGATTTATAACTGATGTTCTAAAAAAGACTTAACAGGTTACACCTACTCATAGTAACTGTGTTATCTTAAAGAGTGTTTCTTGAGATCTCAGCCTGAGTGAAATAAGACCTATATAAAACAAACTTCTGCCCGATGAATTGTAACATATCCTCTGCTGTGAATATCAGATGATATTTAAAGAGACAGAACTGATCAGTATATTAAATGACCAGTGTATTACAACATAGACAACACCCCTACAACTAAGAAAAGCAATTTGTCAGCTACCAGAATTTAATAAAAATTTTCCACAAAAACAAAATGTAAACAGATTAGCAGTATATACCTCCAAAAGCCATGATCAAGTGGACACATAAGATGAATGAATACATCAGATAAATCATGCAACACAAACATACACTAATTAAAATAGATGTACTTGCTAATCTTCTATGTTTATGGTAGCAATATGGAAGGAAAATACACCAATTATTATTAATATCACTGGCTAAGGGAATGATAGCTTCAATTCAACATTTGTACAACGTGTACGTTACATGTACTTTTAGCCACTTGATTTACTGTAAAGATGTCAGAAAAAAAAGTTTAAAAAAAGTTAAGATATATGCACCCCAAAACAGGTCTACAAATGTTAAAAGACATTTATACCTTACCATTTGTAAATGACCTTTCTTTCCCTAACCCTTCTTTTTTAATAACTAAAACTCAAAACTGCACGAGGAGGCTGATATTGCATGAGCAGCCTTTAGCTTGACTTAGATTTATTTTGCTATTTTCCTTCCAGATTTATCGGGTCCATTTGTCCCTTTCCTATGTGTCCCCGCCAGAAGGTACCTTAGACGTGTGGCAGGCTCTCAGGGCTTGGTGATCCTGCTTTGAGCCAGTCCTGTTGGTCTGGGCATTTACCCACAGGGAATGGGTAACTTTGGGTGCTTCATGAAACAATTTTTCAACTATCAATATATTCTTTCTCTTCTCTCTATTGTACACGAATTGTATTGAACTTCTTTTTCACTGAAGGTCTTACACACTAGTGTATGTTTTGTCTTAACACAGTGGCCCTCAGCCTGCCCTGTAACAATTCCTGAGTGATCTAGTTAAATTATTTTGAATGTGCCAAACAGGGGATGAGAGCCAAAGGCAAAGGGACCCCAGAAATTTGTCAGTCCACCTGGTAGCCTCCATTTTACCACCTTTATTACAAGACGTTGTTCCAGTTCTTGGAAGACAAAGCCACCAGGGTCCCGAGTCCAGAGGTTCTGGTGACGGAGGACACCGAGGTCAGAGGCAGCCATTAACTGACACTATCAATTGCAGTGCTGGCAGGGGCCTGAGATGCCAGGGAGACATTTGGGTCAAGTTGCTGAAGAATAAGGATGAGACCAGAGAAGAGCTGTCTCCTTCCTTTTCCATTTATTCCACATACTTAAACCATCCTGAGTTTGAAACCTGTCTCTATCCCTGGCAACCGTGGCATAGTCTGGACTTCTTTCATCTAACACAGTATTACTAATAGTGCTACTAATACTTATTGCTACATCAAAGAAGTTTTATAAGTATTACGTGAGATAATAACTGTAATTAGGTGCTCAGAACTGAGTATGGCACCAAGTAAATGCTTTTTGGGTAAGTATCAGCAAGATTATTATGAATACCATCATCACCTTTATTATCATTTTCTTTAACAGGACAAGGAGAGGGGTCTGCAGAGACCAAGTGGAAAATTACTGTGGTCAGCGCTGCTAGTCTGACACCAGAGGGCATTACATTGATAAATACAAAGGCATCACTAATCTGAAGAAATAGCTATGACACTTTTGTTCAAATTAGAAAGAAAAAACAAAAACACTCTTCCAAACACATCCCACTGACTTTTTGGAAAATTACCCTAATGAGTCTGGGGGCAAGTTAGGGTTAATTAGGCAGCTTCAGGGACAGTGCAGACAGGGGCTTCAGAAGAGTTAGGGGCTTCTTAGCAAATTCTAAGATGGGCTAACCAAAACATACTCCAGAGATGAGGTCAGAAAGTCCAGGAGGACTAACCAAAGACAGTAAAACTTGAGAGAAAAAGACCTCGGAGTAAACCTGTACAAATCGCGAATACAACACGCAGTATGCTTCTGGAAAAGGTACCTCGTTGGGTGGTACAGTGCACAGCTTTCACAGCCAAACAGTGACTGAGTTCCCTCTCTGCTAGAAGAGACCACAGGGCTTGGCCTTGAATTACTGAATAAAGGGGGTAGGCGGGAGTTGGGAGAGGGAGGATTCAAAGAAAGTGAGTGTCTCTAAGAAATGCCTGGATGTGTGGGCAAAATCCTGGTAGGGGTATGAACGTGCATGTCCTGAAAAAGTTCTCAGCATTTTTAGCTGCTGCAAAAAACCTTGAAGCCCCCCACATTTAAGAAGTCCTCTTCCAGAAGAAGGAGATGAAATGAAGCGGGCTTTTGGAGTCTGAAGTGCTATGTTCAATGCAGACATGTTCCAGATGCAGCTTGAGATTCATGAGGGCTAGTGAGTTCCTGGGGTGAGGTCACAGCTGACAATGCTTAATATGCAGGAACTCAACACCTACATGGGGTAACTTTTTGTGCGTGAATGAGCAAGGAAGGCTAAGAACAGAGAGTTCCGTTGGTGGTTTCTACTTGTTAGGTCCAGCTCTGTCTTGAAACAGGACAAAGGCCACAGTACACCCTCTCTTTGTGTCTCTTTCCTTCCCACCAAGGGGCTGCAGGTGGCACTTCATTCATATTCCGATAGAACATAGTCCCCCCTGGCTCGCCCTGTAAAGACAAGAGAACAGGAAGAAGCATAACAGACCTAGGCAGTGTCTTCCTCCCTGTCCCTCACCTGCTCATCTCAACCCTGACCACTCCCCTCCCAACAAACTCTGGATTTCTAGTCCCATTACCTGCATCCGGAATCACTTCCTATCTTTCTATCTGGTCTCCTTGCTTCCCCATCCCACCTTCTCAGTATTCTCCAGGCCAAGTTTATGTCCCTCCCTGCACTGATTCCAGTGCAAATTAACATGAGGACCCAAAGGTAAACAGGGTGCTGCCAGAGCTGGCTCTGGTCAGCCCCTCTTTTCTCACACGATAGATGCGCAGGGTACAATTGGTGACCCACAAGTATGCACAGTCGAGGAAAAGGCTCAGGGATATGGTCTCACCTCCCTCTGCCTCCCCTCTCCCAAGAGCACCTGTGTAGCTCTGCCCTCATCTTCACGCTCACCTAAGAAATCCTGCTCCCCTAAGTTCTGGAAGCCCTTCCAGGTGCCCAGCTGAAAGTGGACATTCCTTCCTTTGACCGTCCTTCTCTAAAGTGTATCTACTGCAGGGTTGTCCATAATTGCATTCACTTGTGTTAGGGATTTAATCCCCACTAGCTCTTGCCTTGGAGACTCTTAATAGTGACTGACTTAAAGTCTTGCAATACCCTGCAAGATAATAGATGCTTGAAGGTATTCATTGAATTTGGGACATTCATTCTCAGGAAAACAGCTAACTCCTGCTCCCAGGGAAGTGCGGGGTCCCCAAAGAAAAAAAGAGGAAACAAGGTTTCTCCTAGACTCCAAATCCTGCCCTCCCTCTAACCCACTTCCTGCAGGAGAATTAATATGGGGGCAGAAGCAAGAGCTTCCTTCTTCCTACTCACTGGAAGTCTGCCTTTTCCTTAAGATTCGGACCAAAATCCCAATAAAGATGATGACACAAATAGCAGTCCCACTGATGACGCCAACGAGCAGGGTGTCGGGCAGCAAGGACTCTAGAACAACATAAGCAAGTTAAAGCCTTCGGCCACAGCTCAGACCCAGGGCAGAGGCAGCCCTCACTGCAAGGCTCATTTCCTTCTCCCGCTCCCCGCCGCCCCAATTTGTTCAATGCCTGGCTTTCACCCTTACCCCAGCTGGCAATGAGGGGCTGACCCAGGCCTGGGTGCTCCACACGGCAGGAATATCTCTGCTCTTCCCCAGGGGGCACAGTCAAAGCCACCCAGCCCCGGAAGGTCCCATCCCCACTGGGCAGCAGGTCCTTAGGAGTGGCATCCTTGGTGTCCAGCGGTTGTTTGTCCTTCCACCACACCATGGTGATGTTCTGGGGGTAGAAGTTCAGAGCCTGACACCGCAGCGTGGTCCCTGTGGAAGCTTTGTGGCGGGTCACTTTCACCAGAGGAGGCACTGCACGGAAAGAAGGAAGCATCTGGAGAAGGGATCTTTCTCCCCTTGCCAAGGAAGGCCAGATCTTTCACTTCCCTTCCACCAGTGGGTGCGAGGGAGGCGAGACCGCTGGTTTGCTAAAGCCAGCTACAAGAGAACGTGTGTCCTCCAGTATGTTCCCAATCTGGCTCCCAGGTGGTCTCACATGGCACAATCAGTCACAGCGGCTGGTTCTGTCCCATGTGTAAGTAGGTGCGTCCACATCTCCTGTTCCAGGTTAATATGTTAAGCGCATTCGGATGGAACTGCCATTTGTAAGGACAGGAAATGATATAACTACTGTCAGCAATTTCCCCTGGTTCAACCCAGTAATGTTCTTGTAAGAAGGGGCCTTGTGAGAGCAGCCAGGCAGCTCTACGTTCTATGAAAGTAACCTTCAGCCTCCAAAGGAATCTGTACTCTCCTCAGCTATCTTCCTTGGTAATTCCTCACCTGGGCATTCATGTGAAAATCCTGAATTCCTAAAAAGTATAAATGTACACAGGATGTTTGGTCAAACAAAGAAAAGATCTCAGCTACTTCTTTGGCCTCGGGGACAGAGAAAACTGTGAAAGCTGTGAATGATGGCCGTGTTTTACATTTCATTTATGAGGTGAGACCTCAAGGAGGAAACCACAGACCTCAGTTCATTCTCACAGTCACACAACCTCAGGCTCTGAACCCCAGGCCAGGGATCTCTCCACCCTGAGGAGGAGGGGGGCATCATACCTGTCTGGTCCAGAACCCCTCTCCCCAGCTCCAGTAAGCGCCGCAGCTGCTCCGGGCAGTCCCTCTCGAGGTAGGCTCTGTTCTGCTTGGCCCGAATCTTAATATTTTCCCATTCCAGCTTGGTGACCTGGGCTGTGGGCTCCACTGCTTTCCAGTCCAGCGTCTCGGGGCAGAATTCGAGATGGTCCAGCCCATCGTACCCATACTTCCAGAAGCCCCTGGTGCTGTTGTCCTCCTGTACTTCACAGCCCAGGGCCACCTGCAGCGTGTGGGGCTCTGGCAACACCCCTGGCTTTGTTGCTAAAAACAAAAGATTAGATCCTGATCTCCAACTTCCCCAAGGACTGAGTGACCTCAGGGAGGCAACTCCTTCCCTCATCCCTCCTCAGTCCCTTCAGGACCTCAAACCTCTCAGCTGGGACCTCCCAGCTGTCTCCCTCCTCAGGATAGGAAAGGCTGCGCTCAGGAAGTGAGGGCCCCTCCACATACCCTTGCTGTAGTTGTGGTTGTCCATGATGGTCCAGAAGTCAACGCTGAACATGTGGTCCCACCCTTTCAGGCTCTGACTCAGCTGCAGCCACAGCTGGCTGGTGGCCGCGCCCGAGATCCACCCAGCACGAGGCTCCGCGCGACGAGTCTCGTGATTATAGGCCACGAACAACTGGTCGTCCACGTAGCCCAAGGCCTCAAAGAGGGACAGCCCCAGGCCCCCCTCGGAGGCACCCATGAAGAGGTATCGCAGACAGTGTGATCCTGGGGAGAGGGCAACGGGCTGCCTGTAATCCAATGGTCACCCCAGCTGTGTCCTGGCCCACCGTGGGAAAGGGGACACGCAGAGCCAGGCCTCCAGTCACGGGCCAGCCCCTCTGTGCTCTCCTTGGGCCCCTCTGATGCAGCAACAAAGTCTCCGTCTCTGTTCCACCAGATACGCTCTCCCATTTCTTTTCATTCCCCTCTGGCCTTCATAAACCCTGATTTTTATACTGCCAGGGAAGAGCTTTGCTGCAGAGATGACATCAAGATCGCTGACCACCAGGTGATGGTGAAAACAAGCTGGTGTCAAACAGAATCTCCAGATACTTGTGTCCGGTGGACAGATGAGCTGAGCCTTGCAGACCTCCCCTTCTACCAGTAACTTGACACAGATACCATCCCTCTGTCAAAGAGCAGCATGGTGGTCTCATAGACACTAGCTTGCTGCCCTCCTGGTAAGGTGGGATTTGCAGAAAAGAGGAGGTTCTAAATTCCCTGCCCTGCCCACGGAAGGGTGGCACTGGGCAGCGAGGAGAAGCTGGAAAAAACTGGGAAAAGGACTTGGGAAGGAAGGAAAAGGGTGAAAAAGGAAGAGCTGGAGGAGGCACACGGAGTAGAGAGACCTGTGAAGAAGCTGCACTTTTATCTTGGCCTTGGACTTGAACAGGGATTGAGGGGACATGGTAGGAGACACTTTGGCCAGAGGTGGGCAAGAGACCCTAGGGGAGGCTGGTAATGGCAGCCTTTATCTTGACTTGCGTTTTGATTTTGTGTCTTTCCTTCCAGACGTGCCTAGCCCCGTCTGCCCTTTCCTGTGGTTCCCCATGAAGAGGTGTCTTACACCTGTGGCAGGCTTTCAGGCCTTAGTGATCCTGCCTGGGGCCAATCCTGCTTGGCTGGGCATTTACCCACAAGGGCATGGGCAACTTGGGTGCTTCATTGGAAACTGTTTTAGCTCTATTCTTTCCCTATTGCACACTGATTGTCTGCCTCACACTATTTGTATTAGCGTTCTTTCCTCTGCAGGCCCTAGGCACTAGTATATGTTTGGCTTTATGTGGCAGATGGCAGAACCCACTTTGGGCTTGCAGGTACAGGAGTCCTGGGATACCCTTCAGTTTGCCCTGGAACATCCTCAATGTGTCAAGTTAAACTACTTTGCTTCTCTTCAAACTCCGTTTCCTTTAACTGGCCAAGGGAACCAAGACTGGCCAGTGTTCCAGATGCTTCCTTCTGCTGCACATGACTGCCACAGCTGCACTGCCCCAACCTCTGGCCCAGGATCAATGGGCAAGTCTCCTCTGGAGCCAGTAGGCTCTAGAAGATCTTAGGGCAGTTTTGGCAGAGTTCAGGAGTTGGTGCTCAGACCTAAGAAGAGCTAAGCCAAAAAAAAAAAATTGCTGTAGGTTGTTTTTTTTTTTTTAACTACTTCCTCTCTTTCTTTCCCATATAGTCCTCATACAATTTCCTGTGTAAATGGTTGCTGTTAAATGCTAGAGGTAACTCTGGGCAGCTTTTCTCCCAGCAAAACAGTTCCAGAGCAAATATAGGAGGAACCCCAGTAAATCAAAAAAGGCAAGTGAGTTTCCCTACATCTTCCCTCAAGTATAGAATGCGTCCCCAGTGACTCAAACAAGCAGTAAGTGGTTAATAGAAGCTTATTGGCTGATGAAAGATGACAACTCCTAGATTTTTATCTCCGGCTCTGAAAATCAGCTAACTATGGGGTACTGTAGCTGAACTCCTGCATTTTGCAACAGAAAAAAACCCCTGGAATAAAAATTAGGAAGTGGATTAAACTCTAACCACCCTTTTGCAATCTGGCTCAGGGTTGCTAACTCACTGAATTGAACCCCCTACTCCCTCCTTAAGATTAACCATTAACTGGCTCCATCTCCATTGCTGAGAGCTTGGAAAATGGTGTTACATTCTTTGTGTTGATAGTAACAGCAGAAAGAAGCACCTCCTGAGAACACCTCATGCTGGAAAGTCAGACACCTTGACTTCTGTCATCCAGACTGTCCCCCAACAACTGAGACTTGGAAAGATGAACCTTAACTGCCCCACATTCCTTCACCCTCATAAGACTACAGCACTCCCCCTATTCAGGAAGCAGGTTATTTGGGGGTGCCTATCTGCCAGTCCCCTTGATGGCCACCTTGAAAATAACTCCTTCACGTAAAGACAAGTCTTATGATCCAGAACTTGGATTTCTGAAAATCCAAAGCTGGTGAGTGAAAAACCTGGTTTGCCTGATTATTATACCACCAGCTACAGTCTTTTTTTGTTGTTGTTGTTTGTTTGTTTGTTTGAAATAAGGTTACAAACTGCTTGGAATCTTAAACTTAACTAGTTCCCAAAACTTTTGCGCCTTCCTTCTCCTCCCCCAACGGCTCTGTGTTCTGCCTGTTGCATATCACACATGCCATTGCCTGGGTACCATCGTTCACGCCAGTCAACGAAGCCAAAAGTAAAGTGTTAGGTTATTGAATAAATCACCTCTTCCTCTCACCCAGCAAACAGATCCTTTAGAATCCCCCAATTATACCTGGAACACAGGCTGTCTCACCCCTCACCGGCCCCATTCCCCCACTGTTGCCCAGATCAGTGCCACAGCTGCTCTCCCTGCTTTGATAGTTGCTCTCTTCATTCTGCTTTTCTCAGAGCAGCTGCAGAAATCTTTGCCGAAGCTGTGACAGATCAGGTCAGCGCCCATCACCCACTCTTCACCTCTGGCCCCCAAATCCTGCTCTTCCTTCAACCCATCAGTTCTTAGTGGGGGATGTTTTCTCTCAAGGAACATCTGGCAAGTGTTTAAAGGCATTTTCAGTTGTCACAACTGGGGGAGTGCTATCCCCCCCCCCAAACCCCCAGTCTCCTCACAAACACCATCACAGTGCTGAGGATGAGTCTCTGGCTTTGACCCCAGCTCCCAGGCCCCCCAGATTCCCCAGCTCCCCTGGGTGGTGAGCCCCCTCTCCCCCCTCATCTTCCTCACCATTAGTTCATTCAGGTCTCAACTCAAAGGTCTCAACTGAGGTCTCTCATTTTCTTTGTTGATGTCACCCCAGCATTTATACTCCAACATCTAAATGCCAACAACCAGAGGGCACGCCTGACTCCCTGCTGTCTCCCCTAAGGCTAGAACAATCCTACATGGTGTTGGGCTCCTGCTATCTCCATGAACAATGAATTTCTCTGTCCAACGTCAAATCTTAATACATCAATCCCTGGTGCATGAGTGGTGATGCTTATGAATCACAGACATGACAGGCAGACCAGGGCTCAGCCTCAAAAGCCTGGGATAAAACCAAAGGAAGTTACCAGAGAATAGGTCACCTACGAAATATGGATGCACACAACACCTGCCCTCAAAGTGTGGTTCGGAGGCTACTGATAACTTGGCGTGTGCCGCTCAGACTGTAAGCTCATTGTTGGGATTGTTGAGTACCATTTAATAAGCTACCCGGTGGGTGGGTTTGGGAGGCTGAAATAGACAAGGTACAGGTACCCCAGGACCGGAAAATCCAGTCCAGACCAAGGATTGCAGAAGCAAAGCCAGAACTGGCTGCAGTGTCAAAGGCTGTACCAGAGCCGTTAATTGGCGCAACCAGGCGCCCCAAGTTAAAAAGCCCACACACACACAAAATACATAAAAGAGCATCTCAAATCCTCCTTCGCTGGCAGACTTCTCCTGTCTGGGCCCCTGCTCTCTTGCAGGATATTTCAGTAAATCCGCCTTTTCTGTTCTCCACTGGGTCTCTGATTTCTTTTACCCCTGCACCTCCAGCCACACCCTGATATTTCTCCCCACTATAGGGATATTTCTCCTCACTATAAGGATGGGAAAGGATAGCGAGTTAGAAAACTAGTTTGTCCAAAGTCTTTGTAACTGAGGAAAGTTACTAACCTTGAGTGCTGGTTAACTTGTAGTAAAATCATCTTTAAAAACATCCCCTGCCTCTCAACACAGAGTGGAGTCCAATAAGATCAGATAGGAAGATGATTTAAAATTGAGGTCACCATGCAAATGACGATTGTCAACACTCTGGCGCCCAGAATAGCAAAAAAGCTCCTCAGTCTCCCCAGCTAGTAACAGGACAAGGCAACAACCCAGGGCTGAAAAAGAGAACTGTTCTGTTCAGCTCAAAAGTTCAAAAATAACAGATTTTTCTGGACAAAATAACCATTGCCAAAAGTACCTCTCAGAAGCCTCCCATCCCCAGCACCGCCCCCTCCCTCTGTCACCAAGGCAGTGAGTAGGGTAGAAACTAGATTCTGCTCTCCACTTCTACACCCCCTTTTCCCCCACGCGGAAACCCCAATCCCGTGGCGAATTCTCTAAACCAGCGTCTTCCAACCCTCCACTGCCTGGTGTGGAAACACCTAGCGCCTTGAGGCCAAGGTCGCCCATGGTCAGAAGAACTTCCTGTTTGGGTCTGACCTGAAAGCAGGGTATGAGAGCCCTGAGGATGGTGGGTGTAAGGGGTGGGGAGTGCCGGGAGTGACACAACCAACAGAAAGGAAACCCGCCCCCCACCCCCGCTATCCGAGTTCAAGGACCCCAAGCCCAGTTGCACCTCAAAGAGAAACTATTAAGACACAGAGAATTCTATTTTAAGGCATAGAGGAAGAAGGGGGTGGTTATTACTTTCAGCAGAACAGAAGGACAGCGGGGTGGGGTGGCAGGCGAGGTCCCGGGGCTCCAGACCCTTTTACCCATCTTGCACCCCAGTGGCCTGAGTCCCTTTCCCGGGCAGTTGGAAGATGGCACTGTGCACGGCGCTGAGCTGTGACCAGGAATTTAACGAACTCCCAAATGCTGAAGATAAAAAGAAGCCCGTTTTGGCGTTTCCTCCCGCCGCCCCCTTCCCGCCGGCGGCCCCCGGACTCACGTGGCGACCGGCCCTGGGCGGCCAAAGTCCGCAGGAGAATCAGCAGCAGCAGCGCGGGCTGCGCTCGCGGGCCCATTTCCCTGGCTGGGACCGCTAGTCGGGAGCGTCCCTAGGGCGGGGAAACCGGATTGGCCCGAGAAGTCACCGGAGCCATTGCCATGGCTCCCGGCATCGCAAATTAAACTTCCTGCCCAGTGCGATCCTTTTCCGGCCATTGGCGAAAAGAAACGTTTCTCCTGAACTTGAACTCCCTCTCCTGCTGGCCACCCTAATTGTTTGGGGAACCGTTCAGTGACCTAGCCTTTTCTCTGGTTTTTAAACCAAGAGGGGAGGGTTCTGATTAGGTAAAGTATATTTAACGATTTGCTGCCCTAAAAACTCAATATTTAAATACTGAGGACTTTTAAAAGTAAATTATAGATTTACAAAACTTGTCCGTCCAACTTGCCGGTGATTTTTTCGATTTAGAATGTAAGGATTTTTGTGTTAGTCTCATCTTAGTCTCTGGTTAGAATTAATTAAATCATACGATTCACGAATTGGATCTTACTGAAAGAGCTTTTGCAGTTTCATAATGAATTAATTAATAACTGATTGATTTTCACAGACTTTACAGCACGTGAAAGTCACCCGGAGAATTATTAAACCGTTAGCTGCCCTGCTTTTGCTCTCGGATACTCAAGTTTAATTTCTATTTGGTGTCACTAGGGCCCTGGGATTTTAAAAGCACCCCCTCCTAAAACACACACCCCAAGTTTGAGAATTATTGTCTTAAACATTTAAAACATAAATTAGCATTAACATCTAATTGTCCCCAGACTTTTCAATCCCTAGATCCAAACCTTACAATCCTTAAATCCCATACTTCGCAATCGAAGGGGGGGGGGAGGAATCAAACTTGGAAATAAGCATCTCAGCTGTGAGAAGGTATGAAATAGATAGAGAAAATCAGAATTTTGGTGGTGAGTACAGGGGGATTGATGGTACTAGTACTTTTTTCTTTCCTTGGTTACTAATTTATGGGGCTATCGTTCACATATCAACCAACAAATTCATTTAAAGTATAAAATTCAATGGCTTTAGGATATTCACAAAGGTGTGCAACCATCACAATTTTAGAACAGTTCTCCCTTCTCCACAAAGAAACTCTGTTCTCCAAATCGCTCACAGCCCTAGCCAATATTTAATCTACTTCCTGCAATTGTAGAGTTTAATCTACATTCTGTCTTTGAACACTGCATATACGTGGAGTCATGTAACATGTGGCCTTTTGTTACTGGTTTCTTTCATAATGTTGTCATCCTCTTTTTCACGGACAGATAACATTCCATCATAGGCAGATAGCGAATTGTATTTATCCATTCAGTCAGTAGGTGAGCATTTGGATTGTTTCTCTTTGGGGTTATTATAAACAATGCTGCTCTGAACATTCATGTGCACATTTTTTATGTTCTCGTTTCTCTTGGGTTTATATATATATATATTTAGGAGGGAATTCCTCTGTTACATGGTAACTCTAAGTTTCATCTTTAAGGAACTGCCAGAATGTTTTCCAAAGTGCCTGCACAATTTTACCCTCTCAACAGCTGTGTTTGATGATTCCAGTTTGGAGACATCTTTGCCAACCCTTCTAATCGATCATCTTTGCAATTCTAGTCATTTTAGTTGCAAAGTTGTGCGCAAAGTAGGAAGCAAAGAGATAAAGAGGCCGGTAAAAACAGAAGTAGGTTTATTTCTGTGCTCCCTGGGGAGGTTCACTGCCCCCAGGGAGAGTGGAGCTCAGAGAAGCTGCACTGTGGGAGGTGTAAGTGGGGGGTTTTCAGGCCTCATTTGGGGGAGGAACCACCAGGTGGAAAATTTTGACAAGGAACTGGAACTTAATTTTCTGCCCCGGCTTGGGTTAACTGGTGGTGACTAACAAGTTATGAAGTTATTGCTCCCGAATACCTGCTTCTGCTTGGGGCAACTGCACCTTCCATATGCCCGTGTTTGCTGGCGCCTGAACCTGCATTAGTGAAGGCTCCTTGTGTGAAGTGGTACCTGCTTTGTAGTTTGGGTTTGCATTTCCCTGAGAACTAATCAAACATCTTTTTAACTCCTATTGACCAACTAAAACCTCTGTAGAAATGTCTATTCAAATCCTTCTCCCATTTTAAAATGGGGGTTATTTACTTATTAATGTTGACTTGTAAGTGTCTTTACTATATTCTGGATATATGTTCCATACCAGATCTATGATCTGGAGATATTCTCACCAGTTCTACTTTATCTCTTTATTTCTTTTCGTGGTGCTTTGAAGCAAAGACATTGTCAAATCTGATGAAGTCCAATTTATCTATTTTGATGTAGTTTTTTTTCTTTTGTGTCATAGCTAAGTGCTCATGAGTAGACTGAGAGGCAGCCCAGGACCCACAAACTTGCATGTTCTGCCATCCTCCCCATGAATACAAAGCATTCTCTTAGTGTGGAAGAACTTTTAATAGGATTAAACCTACTTAATCCTACTACAGAGTGCCAGCGAGAAGAGAAAGGGTAACAGTTCCCCAATGAAGAACGCAAAGTTACCCATCCTCTTGTCAGTAAATTTCAGTCGAACAGTGTTGGCCCAAAGCATGGCTGCTAAGGCCTGAAAACGTGCCAGGAGTCTAGGACACCTCTCCCTGGTAGGAGATGCCTTTGTAACAGTGGGTCATCTCACATCCTTGTCTAACTACTTCCAACTTTCTGACTTGAGTATCAGCCTCTAATTGGGTCTCTCTAATTGGCACTCCTCCTGAGACACCTGCTGTAAAACACCAGGTCACTGTCAAATGAGCCACCTCCATGCTAGCAAACCCCCATGTTGTCACCAAAGCACACTGCATTAGAAGTGGGGGGGCCAGTGAGATTCAGTCATGAGGGGTGAAGTGCTGGAAAAGGACATAACTATTGATTGACCTTTGACCTGAGCCCATACAATGAGGGGGCTTCTCACCCTGCCCCTGGAGTGGGCTCCAGCTTGCCCCAAGAACTATCCTTGAGATGGTCATGTGTTGCTGAGAGCATCTGGGTGGATGGTCTAAGTGAGCGAAGCCTAAACAAGAGTAAGCCCACCACCCTTCTGTCTGTCTTTTTTTTTTACCTGACTAGAATAGCTTTTCCCAAAGAACTCCAATTCCAGCCCCAGCCAAAGAGCCTGCTAACATGAGCTCTCTAGCAGCGATGTTCCCTGGAGCCAGATAAAGACTCTGAAGCGACTGGCAAACTTTGGGATTCAGCAGGACTGAATCTCTGGCTTCTCCCTTACCCCTCTGGCAGGATCCCAAAGGATTCCCGGGTCCCTTGTCCCAACCCTCTGCTTTGGTGACTGTGCCAGACCCTGGCAGCCTAGATCTTATGCCACATGCTAACTACGGTCCCATTCAGGCCTCACTATAGCAGGAATGTGAGTCTTTTTTCTCCCTGAGGGACTGTGGGTCATGTTCACCCAGCACCGACTAGTTCTGTTCCCACTGAGCCTCTGCCCTCTGTGATTTGAGTCCAGACCTTTCTGGCCTCTTGGCAAATTCAACACAGTGGCTCAGGAGAAGATATATAGGGTTTCCAGGTAACATCTTCTGCCACTGTTACGGAATGTAACAAAAAGGGGAGGTTCAGTGTTCCCCACCTCACCTTTTGAAGAGTGGTGATGACGGGTGAGAAGACTAGGAGCAGAGATGTGTGTTCAGCACACAGTTGCTCTGTTTCAGACATGTACCAGGGCCTTGGGGAACATGGAAGGAAACACCTGGGTTTGAGACATGTAGAGATATTTGGAGGAGACGAGGGTGAGAGACTCGCGGAGAATCAGGCAATGGCAGCCTCTAACTTTATACTTTGATTTTGCTTCTTTCATCCCAGACTTGCCTGACCCCTTTAGCCCCTTTCCTGTGTTTCCCACCACAAGGTGCTTTAGACTTGTGGCCCAGCTTGTGGGTACTTTCAGGCTTTAGCAGCCCTGCTTTGGGCCAACCCTGTTGGACTGGGCATTTACTCAGGAGGGGATGGATAACTTTGGGTGTTTTATTAGGAACTATTATCTTTTCTTCTCTTTCTGTCCATGCACACCATCCTATTGAACGTTCTATCACACTAAGCATTTGCTTTGATTTTATGTGGCAGACGGCAGAACCCATTTAGAGCATGTGTTTGCGGTTTCTGTGTCTGCACACTAACAACTGAAGATCCATGGGGGTCACCTAGCTGAAAGGCATTCTGGGGAGTAGGTGATGGATAAGGACTGGGCCCTGCGCTGTGCACTTTACAGCCTTCCGTCCTCTCTCCTGAAATTTCAGTTTACACCATGAAACCCAGACACCACTCTGCAGACCAACCTCAGCCCTTCAGCAAACCCTCATGGATGGGTAGCTGTTACGCACTGAAGTGTGCCCCCTAAAGTGGTTGAAATCCTAATCCCCGGAACCTTGAATGTCCTTACTTGGAAATAGAGCCTTAGCAAATGATCAAACTGAGTTCATTAGGATGGACCCTGGTGCAATATGACTCGATTTTAACACAGAGAAGTTTACAGACAGCTGGTCGGGTGATGCCGGGGCAAGCCCAGAGAGGCTGAGGACTGAGCATTCCTGAGAAGGAACCTGTGCAGCTGGCACCTTGGTTTCAGAACTAGCCTCCAGAAGTGTGAGGCTAGAGGCTTATGTTGGCTCCACTGCCCAGTGTCTGGTGATTTTTCACTGCAAGTCTAGAGCAAATGCATCTCTAGTGCCTGGCTCAGTGCGTTGCACACAGCAGATCGTCAATAAAAATTGGTCGAATTATGAAATGAGTACAGATTTAGTGTTCTGGGACCCAAAGGAGGTAGGGGCTGGGACAGTTTAAGTGGGCTACTTTGCTTTCAAAGCCCTGTTTTTCTTTCTTACTGAACCCTCCATGTCAATGAAGGCTGAGACCTCTGAGTCTACGGTCGAAATGATTTAACATCACCAAAGAGGCACGCTCAGGCTTCTATGAGTTGGGTGCTGGCTACCTTATCACCTGGGGCTAGGAAATCTGGGCGTCAGAAGACCTCTTGTACAGATTTCTAACAAACCTGCCAGTTTTCAATCCTGCCTGTAACCATGACCTCAGAGG